CCGGTGGCCCAGCGAAAAGTCTTCGGATCTACAACGCTAAAATCAGGGGTTCGATTCCCTTCGGTGGATACAGCAGATAGCCCGATGTGGCTTTGATATAAAAACACACACACATACATACATATACCTTTATAACGTAATCATAGCTGAAAGTGCGGAGAATATTTTGTGGTATCGTTCCGAAATCCACAGCTCTTCGGACAACCTGCATTCACAGAAGTGAAAGAAAGAACATCATATGCTAGTGAGCCCCCAAGTGACACAGCGGTATGTCTGCGGACTTACAACGCTAGAATCTGGGTTCCCATACCCGTGATGGGCAAAGCACAGATAGCCCATTGTGTAGCTTTGTGCTTAATTAACAAAAAAAAAAAATCTTGCTGAAGAAAAATGATTTATAATATACAGAATTTGTGAGTAATTTTATTAATCATAATATTAGGTAACATTAAGATTGTAATTTGAAACTCTACGAAATACTTATTACTTGTACTAATAAGTTGCAGCATTATTCTAAGCTCAGTGTGTAGAATGTGTGAAAAAATAGATTAATGTTAAAGTCGAACACTTAAAAAAAAGGGAAAGTCTTATCACTGAGATTACACTGGTTCCTTCGCACACAACCTTGAATTTCTAGCGAGTATTTAACTGGTTTAAAACCAAGCATACAGAAAATATTGTAACCTCTAAGTGTTCAGATTTTTAAGATCGTCTTGTTTGTCACAAAAAAAAAAAAACGGAAATAAAACGGGAAACATAAATTAAAATTACTTCGATGTCTATCACTAAGTATTTATTTGTTTGTTGAATTTCGTGCAAAGTTACTCATGAGCTATCTGCGATAATCGTTCCTAATTTAGAAGTGACAGACTAAAGGGAAGGCAGCTAGTCAATACCACCCACCGCCAAATTTTGGGCCACTCTTTTACCAACGAAGAGCAGGATTGAACATTACATTATAACATCCTCACAGCTAAAAGAATGAGCATGTTCAATGACTGGATTCGAACCCGTGACCAGCAGATTGAGAGTCGGATGCCCTAACCATCAGGTCATCTAGCTAAGTCTATTTTGTTTAAAAGCTCAACAAAAGAAATACAAAGTACATAAGTTAAAACATCTTAATTAAAAATAACAAAGTAGAACTGATAAACAAAGATGGCAGAAGAGGAACGCCAGCCTGAGAATAACAGAATAGGGTATTTAGTGTTATCAGTTCGATTTTATTACTCATCAAGATCTCTACCAGCCTACCCTCAAGTTGAAATTATGTTAGGTAGGATTAGAGTAAATTAATTTATGAGACCTAGGGCGTGGTTAAATTCATCAATCGAAAGGGTTTGGCCTCCTAAGTCCAAAACTGTAATTAGATCTCAAATCGGTCAAGAAATGACGGAGCTATGAGTTCAAAGTTTTTACTTAAAAAACTCAGACATTCTATGAGCCGTTATGCCGCGACTAAAAATAACATGATAGGAATCAAACCGGAAGATAAAAATTAACGGAGCCTAACTTGAAGGAAATAAAAGAAAAGAACTATCTTCCCGGAAGTACCCACAAGGTTCTTCCCTCCCCAAGTGTTTGCAACTTTCAGACATTTCTTTATAAAATACACATATAGAAGGTGCAGAATAGATTTCCTATGTGACACCTTAATTTTGGATATATCTCATTTTGAGATGGGACAGTTGAAATAACTTTCATTCATGGGCTTACAATGCTAAAATCCGGTGTTCGATTCCACGCGGTAGACACAGCAGATAGCCCATTGTGACTTTGTTCTTAAACAAACAAACTTCTGATGTTTTCTGTCGACAGGGCTCAACTTTCTGATACGCTTGCTTCTCAGAAGTTTTATTTCTGTGAGTAACCTTTCGCACGTGCTTATTACTTTAATTTTTCTCGATTCTAATGAAAGGAACAGCGAGTCTTTGTTACTGGTCTACAAAACTACGCATACAGCTCGTAAGATGATTTGCGGCTTTCCTTTCATATTAGTTTGGTTGTTGTTAAGCGCAACGTTTCACAATGGGCTAACTGTGCTCTGCCCACCACGGGTGTAAAGCTGCCGAGTTACCGCTGAACCACTGGGGGGCTCCTTATATAATCACAGTTCAATACACATTAAGCACGATTTTTGTTTTAAGTTTGGAGAGTAAGTATTTAAACTTTTAGTATTCAGAGTTAATATATGTTATGTCAAGAAGTAGAACAAATAACGTAGTAACTTGCTGTTTCCAAAATTATTATAGGAAAGTTATGGGGTAAAAGTCACAATAATTTTTACGTTGATTATTTTGCCGTTTCAAAATATTTCTGGAAGAAAACGAGTTCAACAGATGGCGCTGTGTCTGTGATCGAAATCCATTTATTCAATCAATTAGCTGAAGTGAACAAGCACTGTTAGAGCGGAAACAAGTAAAGTGATTTAATAGATTTGATGTTATAACAACATGTTATACAAACGAAAACAATTAACGTGAGTGTGTGTGATCTTCGTTATTAAAATCTTAATTTTAAGTATTTTTTCACATATATAGGAAAGTCAGAAAGTGTTTTGAAAAGTACTCCTAATTATTTTTGGGTAATTTTTTTTTTCGTTGCCTATTCTTACTGACTTTTTATACTGGTAATTGTACTTATAAAAGACGTATTGTAAAGTAAAACTACACGAATATATACAAGCAATTAACGATTTTACTTTATCAACAGTATTTTTATATATATACACACACGCACATAATCATATACAAGTGAATTCATAAAATTAAACCATACATTGCAGGGATAAATAATACGAAATCACAATATTTTTTGAAGAATAAGTGAAAACTTCCTGCAGTTGTATGAAAGTAGAAAACAAGTGATTTTTACAGCCACCAGTTGTCAGCTATTAGTGTCAGATAGAACTCATTTCTAATTAAAACGTTCTCAGTTGCAAGACGATTTGAAATATTTATTGGAATGTAGCGAAATGCCATTCAGAAAGCAAACCAGCTTCACAGTAAGATTGTCTAGGTAGTAATGTAAACAACACAGACGGGAAAAAGGTAAGCATGGTTTACATATTGTGTAGTGCTTTAAGCAATCTATAACATCCGGGTGATATATTACATTTACAAAAACTACTTCTGGCTATTCCAAAAAGTCGAAGTATCACCCGTTTTCTATTGCCAGTTTCCTCGATCTTGTTGAAATAAACGTTGCTGACGCTGGAACCACACTTCAGGTACTTATATGAGGAAATGCATACATCTTGTTACGTGTGGACAGGCTTGATGAAGGTCTCAGTAAACACAGACCCAAACGTTGTCTCAACAGTAGAATTGCCACCTTTTCACAATAGAAATACAGAGCGTCCCGTGTCCATATTTCGAATTATAAGCCCCCCCCCCCCCAGCAAAATTTTAATATAATGGCAGCTCAAGAAAAAAATAAAGTTCTTTAAGATGGGGAACTTTATCTTTTCTCTAACGTCAGAGGACATATGACAAACAATACAAGAAACGTTGGACAGATGACAAACAATACAAGAAACAGAGGACAGATGATAAACAATACAAGAAACAGAGGACAGATGACAAACGATACAAGAAACAGATGAAAGATGACAAACAATACAAGAAACAGAGAACAGATGACAAAGAATACAAGAAACAGAGGACAGATGACAAACAATACAAGGAACAGAGGACAGTTCACAAACAATACAAGAAACAGAGGACAGATCACAAACAATACAAGAAACAGAGGACAGATCACAAACAATACAAGAAACAGAGGAAGATGACAAACAATACAAGAAACAGAGGAAAGATAGACAAACAATTCAAGGAACGGAGGAAGATAGACAAACAAT